TCACATCATATGCCTGACTGTATACCTTGAAATGCGTCTTGTTTCGTTAGCTGGTGCTATTAGTTTCTTATTTGGCCTGGTAGCATACTGCGGTAAGCACGTGTTAAATGCTTCCGGTGGGGGGCAAAGGAAACTTTCGGTTAAGCATCGTCCTGAAAATGTACGGGGTCTCTTCAGGTCGTTGTGGGTGTTTGTTGTCTGGACAACTTCAGGCAGAAAGGCGTCTGCGTTCTTTGTTGTAATGATACAAATGGATTATTATCATTAGTCGACTTAGAAATACTGCTCACGCTGTCCCCTATATCCGACGCTGCTCATAGTCCCAATCAATTAAACATGCCGGCCTCGCCACAGGGGCGGCGTACGAACGGTGAGTAGGAACTAAAAGTCGTTAACTCTGTCAAATGTTAAGTATCTGTAGAAGCCCATCACGAAATACTAAAAATAGGTGTTTGTCGCATTTACTTTTAACCTTAACAATATTTTTAAAGTTTTTCTTTAGTTACTAATGCTTGACGAATGGCCGAATTTAGTTCTGCATTTAGTGGAGGTTGTCAAGCGAGGGGGGAAATTGAGAAATCCAAGTGATATTCTGCCTTTTTTAAGAACTTTCCATTGTTTTATAATTATTTTCTGCAGACATATACTTCGACAGCTTGCGTACTTCTTCCGCACACTTTTATGTTTCCATATTACGCATTTTTACTTCGTTTATTAAATAGGCTCTGGGCTCTCAAATAAAAAAGAACTCCGTAGATTTCCGGGTCCCTTTTGTGCCTATTTCTACCGGCTTCTCACTGTGCCACGCGTACTAAAGCACTCAATACGGAAGGGTTTACCGATGCTTGGACCTCCCATTTTCTCTGCACTTAATATTTATCCGAGAGCCGTTGAGTATCGAAAGAAAAAGTAGGTTTTCACTCGAAAACAGTAAACTGAATTGATAGCCACTTGATTGCTACAAGACTTTGCGCCCAGTTTCATCATCGGCAAACCCGTCGCCCAATGTGAAAACCAGCATATCTGCCTCCATCGCAACACAACTGGAAGGTGTTAACAGCAGTGGCTCTCTGTGAACACCTACGCCTGACAATTATGGTCAGCTAAGTCAACGTTTAAGTCTTCACCTAGATTAAGACATATAAGTTACATTAAAAGTAAGAACCGAAAAAACATCCACTTACCCTTCCTGATTCCATGCCGGTCCAAGGCTTTTCAAGAAGGTCTTGTTTTTCTCATCTAAGTAATTTTGCAAGAACTGAACGGATTGGTCTGTGAATGTGGGCAACCAGACGGACTTGATGAGTCGGTCATGAATGTGTGGAAATTGTCGGCTAACGGCTACGCCCATGAGCCATGACATAGACTCAAGGAAACAGTTGCCAAGGTTAACAATCTTCGGATCAGGAAGCTCATTGTGCAGTTCCGACATGAGGTTAATACCTTTGCGAATGTTCTTTACGTGATTCACAACAGCGCTGGTAGGCGGAGGCATTACGTTCCCCCGGTGCTTTAAGTCTATGCAGAAGGTAATGTAAGTAAGCTTTGCGCATTAAATGTGCTTCAAACGAAATAACCGACGACTTAAAAGACAGGGGAATTACTGCGTGACATATGCATAAAGGTAAATAAAGCTTATCTTGAAAATGTTCGGAAAAAAAAATAAACTTTGGAAAGCCTGAACTCTTTAACCTTGCCTCGTAGCTTGACTTTTTAACATTTCGAAGGCACTTAGAATTCATTTGTACCCCAGTGCATTATTCTATTGGGCGTTCCCTACAAAAAAACTGTTCTCCTACAGAATTGGCTCATGGAAGCGGATGTGTGAATAATGCAGCAGATTTGATAGTAAAGAAAGAAGACGTAACGCGCAGTAAAACGTCATAAAATGAGGAATAGAAACGACTCGTCATTGAAGGAAGCCTGTGGTGAACGAAACTCCCATATGTTGCCGCACAGCATAATTTTGGCATACTGGCTATTATTTATGATATGCTAAATAATGAGTTCAGATTAATCAGAAGTCGTTGCCTGGCTTAGTTGACAAGGAGTGTCCTCTAACTTTAACTCCTAAACAACAGAGGAGCCGCTAGCGATTGACTGCACTTAACCCATTCTATAAGAATCCCATTTAGTTGTACGAATTTTCTCCATTGCATTTCGAGATTTGTACGAATTCATTTCATTCAACAGAAAGAATGCGCACCTGACTAACCAACCTTTTCGTAATGCTCTGTGCTCATATCATATTGCCAACGGTCTAAATTCCGTCTAACACTTAATAATAATCATTTCCTTGCCATGATATCGTTAACGACATCCATACAACCTTCGTAGTCATTCTTACATGGCAGACCCTGAATTGCATAATTATATTATCTTACAAGCACTTGGTTTGGAAAAATCGTAGGTTCCTATAACATATGTATAAGGCCTAACTGATTATCTCATCCTTTCAACAAAAATATTAGTAAAGCTACATAAGCCTCTGAGAAAAAAAAACGGAGTAGATGTTTCAGAAATTAATTAACACGTGCTGGTAGAACAGAATTCAATCAAACTCCAGCGGGCTGCTAAGCAAAGATTGACTAGAGTGTGCGTTCCCTGCCAATCGGCTAGGCTTCCTCACCTAAATAAAACCTTAAGCCAACAAATAAGATAAAACCGGGCAGTTCACGTGAGATTGGCGAAAGGAATCAGTTACTAAAATGTATGTCGGCGTTAAAGCTGTTGGTGTTATTTTGAAACCTGCTAAGGATGAGGGAGAATCTCCACGTGCCCCTCTCACTAGAATAACCCCGGGCCTGCGCCTAGAACGTGTTAAACTAATTTATTTTCTTTCGGCATACTGAATAAGTAACCTCCTGGCGCACAAAGCGTTTCAAATTTCATGAGACTGAAAGCGTGACGTCAGTTGAAAACGCGGAAGACAGCACGCTGTAAAGGTATGCTATTTCGTACAGCAAAAATAGCCGTGCAGTATTAAAAAATGCAATTTCTGGCAATCTTGGACGCAAGTTTAGCTGAATCTCTGATTTGTTTCTTTCTATTTCCGGTGTACCCTTTAACTTGATACGATCTGGACTGGTCGTCGGTGCCTGCTTTGTGCGATAAAGGCCTTGGCTGCTTTTTTGAACATTTAGTAGTCATCTCAACAGAGATTAGGCGAACCTTTGTGATGGCTGTTCAGCTTCATGGCCTGAGAACCTCCCCATCGGGTCAGAGTATTATCAGTTCGCATGTAGTAGGTATGTTAATCGTTAAGCTGCTCGTGGCTCATAAGTCTACTAACCTGCCCGTTGTAAATTTAATAGTTTAAGACTGATTGGTACCAGGCTGACTAGTTAGAAAACCAGGCTGTGCTGATTAGAAAACTTATCTCAAAGAAACGTTTGGCACAGCGGCTGCCTTTACCGCTTCTCAGAAAACAAAGGTCATACCAACATTCAAGATCTACTTGCGGATCAGCGGTCCAGCAATCCACATTCTGTGAAAAGAATGAAAAATCGGATGTTGTAGTGAAAAAATCAGACTAACCGAAGAACCTCCTTGACCTACGTAAAACATCATGAGTCCTCCAGAGCCTAAAAGTATCACGTGAAACTCAGGCCTAGCCTGGCATTCCCCACCTTGCGCTCTGAGAACCGGCTTGATCAACTGAATGTTTGGTCGTCGGGAAAAAAACGGAAGTAGGGCCGCTGGACTAACTGCTTCATTCACCTACCGTTTCCGATTTGTACTGGAATCCAGAGA